GTCCCCATCCTGCATCCTTATCCCTGTGTCCCTATCCTGCATCCTTATCCCTGTGTCCCCATCCTGCATCCTTGCCCCATATCCTTGTCCTGCATCCTTATTCCTGTGTCCCCATCCTGCATCCTTGYTCCATATCTCTGTCCTGCGTCCTTGTCCCTGCGTCCCCATCCTGCCTCCCTGTCCTGCATCCTTGTTCCCCCACGCCCCCCGCTCCGCCTTCCTGTCCCCCACGCCGTCCCGCCACGGTCCCCCTCATCCCTGCCCCGTCTCCGGTGCCATCCCGCAGCCGCCAGCCCCGAGGAGGGCCGCGAGGGCCGCAAGGACAAGGAGGGCGAGCGGGCGGCCGAGGAGCGGCAGCGGGCCAAGGCCTCCAAGCCGCTCATGCCCACCTCCACCATCCTGCGCCTGCTGGCCGAGCTCGTGCGCTCCTACGTGGGCATCGCCGCCCTCATCGCCAACTACAGCTACAGCGTGGGCCAGTCGGAGCTCATCAAGGAGGTGAGGGCGGGCGCCGCGGCCGTGGCCGTGCCACCGGGGACCGCGGTGGCCTCCCTGGGTGCTGCGGTGGCCTCCTTGGGTGCCATGGTGGCCTCGCTGGGTGCCACGTTGGCCTCCCTGGGTGCCACGGCGGCCTCTCTGGGAACCACAGTGGCCTCCCTGGGTGCTGTAGTGGCCTCCCTGGGTGCCAGGGGTGCCACGGTGGCCTCCCTGGGTGCCACGGTGGCCTCCCTGGGTGCCACGGTGGCCTTGCTGGGTGCCGCGGTGGCCTTGTTGGGTGCCACGTTGGCCGCCATGGGTGCCGCGGTGGCCTCCCTGGGTGCCACGTTGACCTCCCTGGGTGCCATGGGTGCCACGGTGGCCTCCCTGGGTGCCACGGTGGCCTCGCTGGGTGCCCCGGCGGCCTCCCTGGGTGCCGTGGTGGCCTCCCTGGGTGCTGTAGTGGCCTCACTGGGTGCCACGACAGCCTCGCTGGGTGCCACGGGTGTTATGGCAGCCTCCCTGAGTGCCACGGTGGCCTCCCTGGGTGCCTCAGTGGCCTCTCTGGGTGCTGCAGTGGCCTCCCTGGGTGCCATGGGTGCCCCGGCGGCCTCGCTGGGTGCCACGGCGGCCCTGTGCTCCCGCAGGACTGCAGCGTGCTGGCCTTCGTGCTGGACCACCTGCTGCCGCACACGCAGAACGCCGAGGACAAGGACACGCCGGCGCTGGCGCGGCTCTTCCTGGCCAGCCTGGCGGCGGCGGGCAGCGGCACGGACGCCCAGGTCGCCCTGGTCAACGAGGTGAAGGCGGCGCTGGGCCGGGCCCTGGCCATGGCCGAGAGCACCGAGAAGCACGCGAGGTGAGCGGCGACACCCGAGGGGGCTGGCACCGTCGCCTCGCGCCCGTGGGTGACGCTGGTGCTGTGCCCTTGTGCCCGTGGGTGACGCTGGCGCCGTCGCCTCGCACCCATGGGTGACGCTGGCGCCATCCACTTGTCTCCCTGGGTGACACTGGCACCGTCGCCTCGCACCCATGGGTGACGCTGGTGCCGTCCCCTCGTCCCCCTGGGTGACGCTGGTGCCATCCCCTTGTTCCCCTGGGTGACACTGGCGCCGTGCCCCTGGGTGATGCTGCCACTGTCCCCTCGCACCCCTGGGTGACACTGGCACCGTCCCCTTGTCCCCCTGGGTGACA